CAAGATCCTTTTCTGCCTCTGTACTGACGAGAAGGGAGTTCCCCAGCCTGTAAGTATGGTGCCGGTTGTTCCTCCCCAGGTGCAGCACCTTGCACTTGTCAGTGTTGAATCCCATCCTATTCTCATCCGCCCACCCCTGTAACCTGTCTAGGTCCGATTGCAGCCTATTCCCTCTTCTAGCATGCCCACATCCCCCCACATCTTAGCGTCATCAGCAAATTTGAACAGGGTGCTTTTTACCCCCTCGTCCAAGTCTCTGATGAAGATGTTGAACAGTGCGGGCCCGAGGACCGAGCCCTGGGGGACCCCACTGCCCACATCCCTCCAGGTCGAAAATGACCCCTCCACCACCACTCTCTGGGTGCGGCCCTCCAGCCAGTTGGCAACCCATTTGACTGTGTGGGTGTCGACACCACAGTCCTCCAGTTTCTTAATGAGAACGGGGTGAGAGACACTGTCAAAGGCCTTCCGAAAGTCCAGGAAGACTATGTCCACTGCTACCCCTGCATCTAATGATTTGGTGACCTGGTCGTAGAAGGTCATAATGACAATTGGTCGTAATGACAATATCTATATGCCAGGCAGTGCTTATTCACTATCCTGTGAGGTGCTAAGCATCTAGCCCATGAAATGAAATCCCTTCTTTCAATCCTAGTGTGCCAGGTGGGTAGTAGCAGGTGCCTGGGGTCTTGCAGGTCAGCTTCCTAGCGGAGATGTGGAGCGCTTGTGTGTTCTAACTGTGACTGGTTTCACTTACACACATACCCCAGTCCTGTAACAGAGGTGGACAAACGACAAGCAGAGTGATCCCTTCTTCTGGGAATCTCAGCCATCCTCAGTGACTACAGGGAGCTCTCTAAGAATTGACTCTAATCAGAATCCACAAACAAACTCTCCTGAAGCTGTTCCTCCTCCAAATCATAAGGGGTTGGTACGGTACTGGTACAACACCGCACAGTTGACAACCCAGTGGTTGCAAGTTCAAAGCCACGGCAGAAGCGCTCATCGCATAGCCATTGGATTCCACCGAATCTGTGAATTCTGCTAAATACCTTGTTGCAAGGGCACAATAAAGAAAGGAAAGGCTCAAGTATAAACACAGCTAGTACAATGCAGCATTTCTCCTCAAGACTGCATACTTTGTTCCACATGGAAGACAATGTAATAGTGCTACTGGGACACACCTGCCAAAGCAATATTTTATCTGTTGCAAAATGTCATGCCCAGGAAGGGTACCAAAGGTTTTTTAATAACAGTAGCTAATTGTTTGCAGTCCTTGCCCTGTTAATGAACACACCGGAGAAGGTATGCAACGAAAAACCACGCTGACGTCAACATGGGTAGAACCCAGAGTAGGATCAATTCCAATATACCAGTAAATGTCCCATTACTCTGAATTCTCTTATGTATGGATTCTCTCAGTATTACGGCTTCC